TCTTTGAAAAGATAAAGAAAATTGACAAGCCCTTAAGCAGACTCATCAAGAAAAGAAGACAGAGGACCCAATTAACACAATCAGAAATGAAAGAGGGGAGATTACAACTGATACCACAGAAATACAAAGGATTGTAAGAAATTACTACGAAGAAGTGTATGCCAAGAAATTTGAAAACCTACGTGAAATGGACAAATTTCTAGAAAAATATAATCTTCCAAAACTCAATAAAGAAGAAGCAGAAAGCCTGAACAGACCAATAACCGCTGGTGAAATTGAAGCAGTAATCAAAAACGTTCTGACACACAAAAGCCCTGGGCCAGATGGTTTCACAGCAGAATTTTACAAAGCATTTAAGGAAGAGTTAACCCCCATCCTTCACAGACTATTACAAAAAATCCAAGAAGATGGAAGTCTCTGAAACTCTTTTTATGAAACCAGCATCATCCTAATCCCAAAACCAGTTAAAGATATAACAAAGAGAGAAACCTTCAGGCTAATATCTCTGATGAACATAGACAGTAAAAGCCTCAACAAAATATTGGCAATCTGCATCCAGCAATACCTTAGAAAAATCATACACCATGATCAAGTGAGTTTCATCCTAGGGATGCAAGGATGGTACAATATTTGCAAACCAATAAATGTAATACATGACATAAACAAAATGAAAAACAAAAGTCACATGATCATATCAATAGATTTGGGAAAAGCACTTGATAAAGTAGAGCGCTTATTTATGATAAAAACACTCAGCAAAGTTGGACTAGAGGGAGCATTCCTCAACATAATAAAAGCCATATATGAGAGACCTACAGCCAACATCATACTCAATGGGTAAAAACTTAGAGCTTTCCCACTAAGATCAGGATCAAGACAAGAATGCCTGCTTTCACCACTCCTATTCAACATATTTTTTGGAAGTCCTAGCCACAGCAATCGGACAAAAAAAAAAAAAGAATAAAAGGCATTCAATTTAGAAAGGAGGAAGTAAAACTGTCATTGTTTGCAGATGTTATGACAGTGTACATAGAAAATCCTACAGACTCCACTAAAAAACTATTCCACCTAATAAATGAATTTGGAAAAACTACTGAATACAAAGTCAATATTCAGAAATCAAAGTCATTTTTATACACCAACAATGAAATACCAGAAACGGAAATTGAGGGAAAAATCCCATTTGAAGTAGCAACAAGAAAAATAATGTACCTAGGAATAAACCTAACCAAGGGGGTAAAAGACCTGTACACTGAAAACTATTCAACACTGAAGAAAGAAATTAAGGAATACACAAACACATGGAAGCATGTACCATGCTCATGGATTAGAAGAAGTAACATCATCAAAATATCCAAACACTAACCAAAGCAATTTATAGATTCAATGCAATCCCTATTAAAGTGCCAATGACATATTTCAGAGATAGAGAACAAACATTTCAGTAAATTATATGGAACCATAAACAACCCCGAATAGCTGCAGCAATTCTGAGAAAAAAGAACAAAGTAGGGGGGATCACAATACCTGATATCAAACTGTATTACAAGGCCCTATAATCTAAACAGCCTGGTCCTGGCATAAGAACTGACACATATACCATGAAACTGAACAGAGAGCCCAGAAATAAATGCAAATATCTATGGTCAATTAACATTTGGCAAAGGGGGCCGAAGCATAAAATGAAGTAAAAATAACCTCTTCAACAAATGGTGTTGGGAGAGGTGGACAGCTACATGCAAAAAAATGAAACTCGACCACCGACTTACACCACACACAAAAATAAATTCAAGGTAGATGAAAGACTTAATTGTAAGTCATGACACCAAAAATGTCCTAGAAGAAAATACAGGCAGGAAAATCTCACATTCCACACAGCAACATCTTCATGGATATGTACCCTAGAGCAAGAGACATAAGGGAAAGAATAAACAAACGGGATCTCATCAAATTAAAAAAACTTCCACATGTCAAAAGAAAATAGCATTAAAAGGAAAATAGAACCAACTATATGGCAAAACATATTTGCCAATGATACCTCAGACAGGTGTTTGTTCTCCAAAATATATAAAGAATTCACATGACTCCACTCCAGAAAGACAAAAAATGCAATTAAAAAATGGGCAAAGGACTTGAAAAGACACTTCTCCAAGGAGGACATACAGAGAGCCCAGAGATATATGAAAAGATGCTCAGCTTCACTAGACATCAGAGATAAAAATTAAAAGCACCATGAGGTACCACTACAGACTGGTCAGAACGGCCATCATAAACAAATGAACAAACCACAATTGTTGGAAAGGATGTGGAGAAAAGGAAACCCTAGTACACTTTTGGTGGGATTGGAGACTAGTGTAGCCACTGTGAAAACAGTATGGAATTTCCTCAGAAAACTAAAAATGGAACTGCCTTTTGACCCAGCAATTCCACTGGTGGGATTATATCCTAAGAGCCTGAAACACTAATCCAAAAGAACCTATGCACCCCAATGTTCATAGCAGCACGATTTACAATAGGCAAGTGCTTGAAGCAACCTAAGTGTCCATCAGTAAATGAGTGGATCAAAAATCTATGGTACATTTACACAATGGAATACTGTGCAGCAGGGAGAAAGAACTAGCTCCTCCCCTTTGCTACAGCATGGATGGAACTGGAGAGCCTTGCTAAGTGAAATAGGCAAGCAGGGAGGGACAAATGCCATATGATCTCACCTTTAACTGGAATATAATCACTGGAACATAATCAACAAAAGAGAAAAGGAAACAAAATATAACCAGAGACACTGAAATGAAGAAGAATCTAAGAATAGCCAGAGGGCAGCAGGGAGGGGACAATGGGAGGAAGGGTTTTCAGGAACTACTATAAAGGAAAGGTAGATAAAATCAAGGGGGAGGGTGGAAGCAAGGGAGGGAGGTGGGTTTGGTGGGGTGATGGGGAGTAGTGTGGGGAAAATGCAGACAACTGTAATTGAACAACAATAAAATAATTTTAAAAAGAATCTGAAAACTAAAAAAAAAAAGATATGAAGCATATACCACACTCCAAAAGCTTCCCAATTATTTCCCTCTTCATCTCCCAGGTCCATTTAAACCTTGATTAGCTTTCTGTGACTATATATTACTTTTGTCTGCTCAAGAATTTTTTGTGAATAGGACCATGCATTTGACAGGCCTTTGTGTCTAGCTTATTTAAATCAGCATAATTTCTCCAGCTGCATCCCTGTTCTTGACCTTTTTGCTAGTGAGTAATATCCCCTTGTATGTATCTGCTTACCTGTGATGTTGCTTTAATGAGGTTTCAGGAGGAAGTGAAAATAGATCTTTGTGTTCAACAAGCCATCTTTCCTGAATAGTCTTCTATTTGTTTACAATGGATATAATTTCTTCCTTTGTCACTCCTTTATCTCTCTGGGGAAATATTATCTACCTTAAGACCTTTACCAGCCTTTTCTATTAGTGTATTCCCTCAGTGAATATCATTTGATTTGTTGAGTTTGCTCTGTCCCTTCCTTGCTTACCCTGGGCTATGACCCTCTCCTGCAGGTGAGGCTTCACTGCTGAGTAGCCCTGGGCTTGTGGGTGGCTTGGGTTTAATCCATCCCTTGGCTCTGGCCTCACCAGTGGATTAGCTTCCACCCTGGCCCTTCCACTGGTGGTCCCTGCTCACCACTGTGTTTTCCCATTTCCTTTCTCTTTTATGGAGAGATTATTCTCTTTCTTGAATGGGAATTATTCATGCTTCCCACTAGTTATTTATTTATTATTAAAATATGGTATGAATTTATTAGAATATTTTTGAACATTATTCCAAAATGATGAGTATAAAAATTACAAATTAAATTCTGTAAACTTTGCATTCTCAATATTCAAATTGTTTCAGTAATATTCAACCTTGTTTACACACTAGAGTCACTTGGGGAGACTGAAATAGCCACTTGCATCAGGCAACACCCATAGCAATCAAAGAAGAATTGGATCAGACCCAAGCCACCATATATTTTCAACCTTTCACGTGACTTCAGTGTGCAACCAATGTTGAAAACCACTGTGGTAAAATACCACTTTTGGTTTATGCATGCCGGAAAATCCTAGGTATGGCTGCCACCTCATTTTGCTGACTTTGTACTCAGTGTTCGAGGTGCTAGTGATTCCATTAATTTGGGTCAAGGATGGGTAAACCATAGCCTATGGGCCAGACCTGGCCTGCAGCTTGTTTTTGTGGATCCTGTAAGTTAAGCATGGTTTATTCTTATTCAGATTGTTGAAAAATTGAATAATATTTCTTGACACATAAAGGTTCTTTGAAATTCACACATCAGCACCCATACATAAAGGTTTACTGCAACACAGCCATACTGTTTCTATGGTGGCTTTCACCTTACACTAGCAGAGTTGAATGGTGACAACAGAGACCAAACAGCCCGCACAGCCTCAAATATTTATGCTCTGGCCCTTTCCAGAAGAAGTTTCTTCAGCTCTGGTTTAGAGCAAGTGTCCCTAAAGCAAGTGCACAGTACCTTGAGTGAACGGTTGGAGGTCCCTTTAGCGAAGCCCAGGGAAATTTATTACAGTTAATTGTTTCAATGTAGGGTCTTTCCTCAGCAGTCTTTCATGGTCAGGGTCAGGGTCAGGTGTGGGAACTGAGTAAGGGACTATCATTAGACATCAAGCTGGCTGAAGTCACCAGATCCAGAATTTCATTTATTTATATTAAGCTCTTCTGTGTTTATTTCAAATAAATATTTATATTGCATTTCTTTTCCACTAATCAGACTTTTGAGACTGCTCAGATTTTTCAAGATCCAAGGTACCCGTTGACCAATAAGCCACCTTCAAAGGTTCCTGTACATCAAAACATGTTACCTGCGAGGTTAAGTGCTTCCACTTAGCCTGTGTCTCTAGGATTCCAATATCTCCACTGAGATAAGGGGACTGTGTCAATGGCAGTATCTACCATCCCATCTCCTCTGTAGCTTACACAAGTCATCCACTTCAGAATACTTCAGAGATGAAGATGTCCTTCCAATATGTTTCTCAATGCTGTCGGGGAAAGGAGTGTCCTCTGAGTCCTTAACAGCAGCTCCTTGGTCCACCAACATGCTGGCCTTAAATGCATTTCAATGCAGATTACTGCAAGTGATAACTTTTGCAGCTGTTTTACCACTGCATGCTTTTGGGACGCCAAAGAATCATCCAACATCAACTGGATCTTTTCTATCTTCACATCTTCCTAGGTCAGATAACCTATTTGAAATCCCCATTTCCTCTCAGGCCCTTCAGTTGCAACCCATTTTAAGGTCAAGTACTCTACCTATGACTTTAGAGTTCATTCTAAGTATTTCATAAAAATAAGGCATCTGCCCTGGCTGGTGTGGCTCAGTGGATTGAGTGCCGGTCTGCGAACCAAAGGGCTGCTGGTTCGATTCCCGGTCGGGACACATGCATGGTTGCTGGCCAGGTGCTCGGATGGGGGCGAGCAAGAGGCAACCACACATTGATGTTTCTCTCCCTCTCTTTCTCCCTCCCTTGCCCTCTCTCCAAAGATAAATAAAATCTTTAAAAAAAATTTAAAGTAAGACATCTTTAATGACATTTATTACATAGCCTACAAAACCTCTGTGAGGGCCTGGAAAGTGGGCTTAGATGCCACACAGCCAGGAGAAGCTCATTCATGCTATGAGACCTCTATATGTACCAGAAACACCACTGCTGTCTGCCTGCTACTTGACATGTATGACAGAGCCTGAATTCCACAAAATCTGCTGTGGTTGTCCCATAAAACACAGACACCTCCTTCATCATACATAGCTGACCACATCATTGACCTATATGTGCCTCCCATGTCATTCAGTTACACCTCCAAGTCTCAGGATGGTATGCTTGATACGTGGAGAACTGTTTGGGGAGCCTGTATGCAAGGGGTTCTAGCACGCACATGCACACACTCACTCAGTGACTCACATAAGTCTCTACTTTTGTTTTAAGCTTTTTGGTCTCCACAGTACAGCAAAGTACATGAGTATTTACAAGTGTTGCAGTACTTTCCAAATTAGCCAATTCACTGTATATTTCACGGAGCCAAATTTGTAAGACTGTAAATGAAACTGTTCACAATGAAAATGTTATTTTTTATTTGTTGCAATTATTTTGGAAATATTAGTCTTACATCCAAATCGCTATTACCATAGTTTGGTAGATTTTCTTCAGTCTTATACAAAGGCAATTATATTTAGAGTGTTGCTTCTCTTCATATTTACACCATTATTAACTATGTAATTATGTGTGTATTTTTTCTTGCCTTACTGCAATGCCCAGGAGTCTCAGCTTAGATCTTGAACAAAAGCGGTTATTTATGAGTCATTTTTGCCAATTCTGTCTTCAAATGAAGTGCTTTGGATGTTTCACTGTTATGTATGGTGTTCATTATAAATTTTTTACATACCTGTTATCAGTTTTTACAAGTATTTTTGTATTCTTGGTTAGCTGAGTTATTGGTGTTCATGTTTAATTTCCATGGGTTGTTGAATTTTATTGTATGCCTGGTTTTTCTCCAGAATCTTTGTGATAATCACCCTATTCTTAGTCCTTTTTTCTTATTAATGTATTAAGTTACATGGTGCACCTCCTAATGTTAAACCAGCATTGCAAATGTAGGATAAACACAACTTTGTCATGCCGTATTATGTGTTTTGCGCCATTGCCGCATTTAGTTTGCTATTGTCTTATTTCTACTTTTCACATTTCTATACCTATTTAAGATGGACCAGTGATTATGTCTTCTCACTGTTTGTCAAGAATATTGCTTCAATATCAAAGGGGTTTTTTTTCCCTGGAATTCATCCATATAAAATTTCAAATTATGCACCTGTCTTATCTTTTATAGCTTTGCTGTAAGTGCAAGCATGATATGATACCATTTCCACTCACAAGTGGCTGCTGATCTGTGCCTCCTAATTTTCTCAACCCACTATACTAGAGGTTTGTGTTCTTACATTTTGAAAGCACTAACATCTAGCACTTTCTCCAACTCTTTCATATCTGTTATCAATTTCATTGTTTTTTTGCTCTTATTTTACATAGGTACAAAGTATTAATGTGCTAGAAGAAGATTAGGTTGAACAAGGTCTACCCTAAAACGTTTTCTAAAACACAGTAGTACCTCAAATAGTCTGTGGGGGAAAAAAAGTTCCATTCCCATATAAGTTGAGGAAACTAGCTGCTTTAGACTGAATGTTTATGTTTCAACTTCACACCCCTAACTTGATGATACCTGAAGACGCGGCCTTTGGGAAGTGATCAGGTCACGGGGAAGTGCCCTCACCTATGGGATTATTGTCCTTATAAAAGAGACCCAGAGAGCCCCCTTTGGCCTTTCTGCCAGGTGAGGACACAGGGAGAAGACAGCCACTTGTGAACCAGGAAATGGGCTCTCACCAGACACCGACCCTGCCAGTGCCTTGATTTTGGACTTCTCAGTCTCCAGAACTGCTAGAAATAAACTTGTGTTGTTTATAGGCGACCCAGTCCAGGGTGTCCCCTTGTAGGAGCCTGGACCAACTAAAACACTACCCATCCCTTTGAGATTCAAGTTGCATATTAGCATATTACCTTAAGAAACGTTACAGTATGGAAATCCTTTTACCTTCATTTCTGTATGTCCCAGATTCCTTTAATGGAAGATCACATTTTTGTTGTTGCTGTCTATCGGACATATTGTGTCGCTGAACAAACTTGGAAGTGCTGAACTGAGAGAAAAAATAAGGTGGATATAATATAATAAAAATAAGAGCAAAAGTAATAATATTCTTTAACCATCCATCAAATAATATGTAAATTGCCCACGATGTAAACACAGTCCTTTATTTCCTGAATTGCGCTGACTCCATAGCATCTACATGATTTTTATGAACAATACCCCTCCTGATTTTACTTAACATGTTTTTCTTAAATGCATTGTCTATTGTTTTCCACATGAAGAAAAGCAGGGAGTTTTCAAGGGGTCTAAGAAGCAATGGTTAGAAAATCAAAACCTAGGAGTGTTTGGTTGGAATGGTTTAAACTCTTTAGGGACCCCAAGCACAGAAAGATTGAGGCATCCCACCCCACATGCAGTTTAAAGAAACTACTGAGTCCTGGCTTGGTGGCTCAGTTGGTCAGAGCGTCCTGCCATACACTGGAGCATGGACTGGTACACCAAGATCGCGGGTTCGATCCCAGTCAGGGCACACACTTAGGCTGTGGGGTTCACTCGCTGGAGTTCGCTCGGGCGGGGGGAGGGGGAGAGGCAACTGATGGATGTTTCTCTCTCATATCGCTGTTTCCCCTCCCTCTCCTCTCCCGCTCTCCCTTCCTCTTTCTCCAAAATCAATAAACATATCCTCAGGTGAGGATTTAAAAAATAATGATACAAAAAGAAACTGCTAAGCACCAAAGAAAATATTATAAATAAATTCTGAAACTTTGCATGATGCTTCTTTCACACTTTTACTGAAAACAATCAAATTCCTTTGAAAATTATTTCTCTCTTTCTCTTTGGTAGCAAATAAGGGACAGACACGGAAATCAGATTTGTAATCCTGTATACAAAGTGGCATCTAAGAGGTCACTGGCGTCCTTAAGAACACATGAACAGAGAAGGGCAGAGCCATCACACAGTACAGACAGTGAATATGGGAGGGTGAAAACAAGAGCAGGACTTTGATGTGGGGACAGGGAGGGGAGGCAAGGCGCGGGTCTTACCCGGTTTCTCGAGCCTGGGCACTGAGAGAAGCCCACAAACCCCTGCCGCGCTGCCCTGTGCCACCGCCAATTCTCTCAGAAAACTTGTGCTAGGGACTCCCAGTCCTCTTACCTAAATGGTGCCCCTCCTACCCAGTACCACCCAGCGCTCACCCAGGCAGGATGTAAATGGGTGGGAAGGTTAGTGTTTGAGCCAGTCTCGTCAAAATTTCCCGAGCCAGGGCACAGACTACAATTTTCACAGTCTTCTGAACCTACAGGTGAGACTCCCCAGAAAGCTAAGCCGAGCTACAGTTTTGGAGTTACCACACACTTCAGTGGCAGACATGGCCACAGGGCGTAACATGGCTGCAAGACCCATGTAGCATGCAGCTGTGGAGCCCTACCTGACTCCCAAGACCTCTCGACAGAGGCTCCAAGATGGAAAGATGCAGGTTTGAAGAGCCCTCAATCTTCCTGTGACTGAGAACTGAGTCTCGCGTGATCACAGTGCTGTACGCGATCATAGCGCGGTACAAGACCGTAGGATATACATGACCCACAGTGATTGGGTTATACATGACCCACAGTGATTGGGTAGTGGCAGTGCTCACGTAACTGCCAGAGCTTTGCCTGTCCAGTGATAGTAGGAGCCTCGAAACTGCTGGCTTAAGAATCGGCAGCCTGCCGTAGTCTTCAATCTTTACTCCCATAGTCCTCAGTCTTTACATGATCAAGGTGGCTGAACCGGACATGTGATCATAGCGGCATACGTGACCGTAGTATCCACACAACTCTAAGAAGCCATTCATTTATGTAATTTTGTGGGCTGGAGCTTCCACATGCCACTAAGTAGTAAGGGCCACACGACAGGGGGAATACACATGGTGGGCAAGGTTTTTAGGAGTCCACGGTGCTCTAGTGGCTTGAAGAGCTAGATCTACCTCATGACTGTAGTGGCAACAGATCCAGAGAGACCACAGGAACTCAGGTGCAGATGTGACCAGTAGCTCCGGGCCTGCCATGTAACTATAGCACCCACATGATGGCAGCATCCGCGTGACCACAGCTTTAGGAATTCACAATGCTCACAAGCTGGGTACAATGACAGCAGGGTCTCCTGATCTGCGTGTTTCAGGAGACCATCCTCTTCACAACACCCTGCGATCTGAGGTTGCCCATATTCCTGGCTTCCCCAGTGATAGTTGTGCCTCCAAGTGACTTTTCTCAATACACAACTTGGGCTTCACCTGCCCCCCACTTCTTCTCTAGTGTGCTAATTTTATGGGTGTTTTTCTGATACGTTAAACATAATATGTAAATTAATACGTGGCAACAAAGCAGGTCCTTCCTAAAATCATAGTCGTTGCCTTATTGTAGCAATTACTTCAAAAGACTAAGCTATGGGCAATTAAAATAAGCATTTGTATTGATCATCTTGAAGACAGACTTTAAAAATTTACTCACTTCCAATTTCAATGGATATCTCTACATGTGGTAAATGTTCCTAACATTCTGATTAGGTACATATCCGCAGTGTTCCATGTTAAACAATGCTCTGATTCAACATTACTTTATGCAAAGAAAACAGCATTCAACCTAAAACGACATTAAAGAAAGAAGACTAAGCTTTGGGTACAGGTAAGTGTTGTTGACTTCATTTCGTGTGAGCCTGAAGAAAACATATTTCTGGGTGCTCTTTTTTGATTTATGCTGTTTCAAAGCTCTAAATGTTTTCTTTCAACTTGTTTTCTTTTTTTTTCAAATACTAAGGGTAGAGTTTCCATTTGCTTTGTGTCTGTTTTTTCTCCTGTGTTTACATGCCACAGGTCTTGACTTCCAAGGTGTTATTCTTTTCCTTTAGAAGTGTATTTTCCTGTCATAATACTGCCTAGGATCAGCTTTCTCTGGATTCTTGCTCCATCTCCTTCCCCCACAAATGTGTTCACTCAATTTGATTTCTGAAACCAGCATTTTTCATTTTGTTGTTCTAGTGGAAACTATATGCTTGCTAGTCTGAAATCCCTAAGGGCTTAGTTCACCACAGCACTCCGATCTGTTGCTGACTTTGTGCAGTTTTTCCTGCTCACCTGTAATTCAGAACTTGGCAACTTTGCCCAATGTTTCAGTTACTTTCAAACACAGTTTTGCAGTTTGATCAAAAAATAATACTGTTTCAGATTAGAGTGGTGGCAGTGACGATGAAAAGAACTGGACATTAAGAGAAATACTTCGGTGAGATGATCAAAGGGAATTGCTTGTGGTCTAATGTAGGAATGAAGATGTGCCCAAATGGTGTTTGGTTAAGGAACTGGATGAAGATTTTACAGAAATGGAAAAAAAGAACTGGGAGATGAATGGCTGGTAATGGCAGAAATAGGCACCCTAGTTGGCTATATTAAGTTTGAAGTACCTAAAAGATAGTTGAGCGGATATATCAAAGAAATAGTCTTTGAATTGAGAAGGAAAAAAAAAGTCCATTTTAGATGTCACGTTCTTTGAGAAACCTTTCCTGAATGCCCACTTCCCATCCCTTTCAGCTTGTTACCCTTGCTACCCACAGCATCCATCATCACTCCTACTGGAGTCTTTATTAAATTTATGTTGCAATTTCCTATTTATTGGTTCAATTTCTCTGTGAGTGTGAGCTGTTTGTGGAATAGAACCTATGTCCTATTATTTTTCTCAGGTTCTTTCTTGCCTCAATGCTAACAGTCATTACTTATTTGCATGGAAAGTATTCAATTCAATTTTTCTAATATTTCTCTGCTGAACTGTGAATTTTTTTTGTTGAGTTAAAGCATTTCAAATGGTTAAAACTTCAAGGAAGGACAAAGGGTATCTCTCATGCCACTATTCCTTTGACATCCCTCTCAGCTTGTTTTCTGCAGCCTCTGATGATTGCTTCATTTAACTGCATTTCATTAACAGTTAGAAAAGTGTATTTGTTGATATTATTTTAAGAAAAGAAACTTCATTTTATTAATTTTTCGTGTGCATGTTGTATCAAGGTGGTCTAGTTTCAGTTTTGCATGTCTGTCTGATTGTACCAATACAATTTATTCAATAAAGTATCTTTACTCCATTGTATATTCTTGCCTCCTGTGATATTTGTTTATTGACCATATATGCATGCATTTATTTCTAACCTCTCTATTCTTTTCCATTAATCTATATGCCTGTTCTTATGGCAATCTCAGACTGGTTTGATTACAGTGGCCATGTTGTAAATAGTTTGATATCAGGTATTTTGATACCTCAAACTTTGCTCTTTTTTGATAAGTTTGGTTGAGGCTATTCAGGGCTTTTTTTGGTTCCATAGAAATTTTTAGAGTATTTTTATATCTGTAAAATATGCCATTGGCATTTTAATAGGAACTGTGTGAAACCTATAGATTGCTTTGTGTAGCATGCACATTTTAATGATGTTAATTCTTCCAATCTATGAACATGGTATATGCTTCCCCTTATTTGTATCTTCCCCTATTTGTTTCTTCAGTGTCCTACAGTTTTGGAGTACAGGTCTTTAGCCAAATTAGTTAAATTTATTCCTAGTTACCTTATATTTTTATTGTTGCAATAATGAATGGGTTTGTTTTCTTAGTTTCTCTTTCTTATAGTTCTTTGTTGGTGTATAAAAATGCCATCAAGACTTGTGCTGAAACAATGCAATAGGGCCCAAATGAAAGAACAGATCAAATCTCCAAAAAAAGAACTAAGTGACGATGAGATAGACAACCTATCAGATGTAGAGTTCAAAGCACTGGTAGCCACGATGCTCACAGAAATTAAGTTTGGTTGCAAAAATGAAAGAAGAAATGAAGGCTATACAAAGTGAAGTAAAGGAAAATATACAGGGAATTATCAGCTAAGGGAAGGAAACCAGGACTCAACTCAACGATTTGGAACAAAGGGAAGAAATAAATATCTAACAAGAAAAGAATGAAGAAACAAGAATGCAAAAAAAAATGAGGAGAGGATGAGGAACCTCTGGGACAATTTTAAATTTCCAACATCTGAATCATGGAAGGGCCAGAAGAAGAAGAGAATGAGCAAGAAATTGAAAAAGTTTTTGAACAAATAATGAAGGAAAACTTCAGTAATCTGGCAAAGGAACTGGATATACAAGTCACGGATGCTCAGAGAGTCTCAAAGAAGTTGGATCCAAGAAGAAACACACCACAACAAATCATAATTAAATTACCCAAGACTAAAGAATAAGGAATCTTAAAAGCAGCAGGAGGGAAGGAGAGACTTACCTACAAAGGAGTGTCCATAAAACTCTCAGCTGACTTCTCAAAAGAAATCTTACAGGCAAGAAGGGGGTGGAAAGAAGTATGCAAAGTCATGAAAGGCAAGAATCTACACCCAAGGTTACTCTATCCAGCATAGCTATCATTTAGAATCGAAGGGCAGATAAAGTGCTTGTCAGATAAAGTCAAGTTAAAGGAGTCCATCATCACCAAGCCCTTATTATAAGAAATGTTAATGGGCCTTATCTAAGAAAAAGAGTATCAAAAACTATGGATATTAAAATGACAACAAACTCACAACTATCAACAACTGAACCTAAAACCCCCCCCCCACAAAACCAATCTAAGCAAACAACTAGAACAGGAACAGAATCACAGAAATGGAGATCACATGGAGGAATATCAGTAGGTGGGATGAGAATGGGAAGAAAATATACGGGAGTAAGAAACATAATTTTTAGGCACAAAATTGGCAGGGGGAGATTAAGAATGGTGTAGGGAATGGAGAAGCCAAAGAACTTATATGTACGACCCATAGACATGAGCTAAGGGAGGAGGATGCTGGAGGGTGGAACGTTCAGGGCAGAGGGGGATAAAGGGGAGAAAAATTTAGGGAAACTTTAATAGCATAATTAATAAAACATACTTTAAAATGCCACCAATTTCTGAATATTGATTTTGAGTTCATTTATAGGGTCTAGTAGTTTTTTAGAGGAGTCTTTAGGATTTCCTTTTCCTTTTAAATTATTTTATTGTTGTTCAATTACAGTTGTCTGCATTTACCCCCACCATTCCCCTCCACCCCGGCCAAACCCACCTCCCTCCCTTGCTTCCACCCCCACCTTGATTTCATCCATGTGTGCTTCCTAGTTGTTCCTGAAAATCTTCCCCCCTTTATCCCCTCCCACCTCCCCTGTGGTTCTCTCTCAGATTGTTGGATTTTCTATGTACAATATCATGGTGTCTGTAAATAATGAGTTTTACTTCTTCCTTTCCAAGTTGGATGCCTTTTATTTCTTATCTGATTGCTGTGTCTAGGACTTCTAGTACTATGCTGAATAACAGTGGTGAATGCTGGCATCCACGTCTTGTTCCCAGTCTTAGGGGAAATGCTGTTAGTTTTTGCCCATTGAGTATGATGTTGGCTGTAGATTTTTCACATATGGCCTTATGTTGATTTATGATCTCTCTGTTCCCACTTTGCTGAGATTTTTACCATAAATGGGTGCTGAATATTATTGAATGCTTTTTCTGCATCTTGTGGTATGATCAAG